ATCCACCAAGGCGACCAAAGCCGTCTCGGTGCTGTGGCCAGGCCTGAAGCCAGACTGTGACTGGTCCAGGTAGTTGATGTCATCCAAAAAGCCCTGGAGCTGAGAGGCGACCACCCGCTCCAGTACCTTGCCCAAGAAAGGGAGGTTGGAGATTGGTCTGTAGTTGTTCAGCACTGTGGAGTCAAGGGAAGCCTTTTTCAGGAGTGGTCTAAACACTGCCTGTTTTAGTCGAGATGGAAAAACAAAAACACCCTGCTCCAGTGAATTGGACTAATGGCTTCTTTTTCTTGGATTTACCTTTACTTTGTGATTACTTTTTATTGCTTTGGCTTTTGTTACCTTCAATAAACTGCTTGCTATTTTAACTCAACCGTATGGTGTTTAAGTCGGAAGGGATCCTGCTCTGGAGTGCAACCAACTAAAATAAAAGTAACTGCTCTAAAACTATGGGAGAGGAAGCCAGACAAAGTGATCTGGACCTGTTCTAGCACAGATACACTGAACCATCAAATGCACAAGGGGTTGGACTACATGGCCACCATGGCCCCTTGCTACTTTCCCTGGGATGCTATGATCAAATCACAGAAACAGGAAATGCCGTAGAAAGAGGGAGAAACCAAGTGGGAAAGGAGGGGTGATGCTGATTAATAGGGGGAAATTAGCAGCGGGGGAAATTACTGCTTTGGCTATTATTGCCTTCAATAAACTGCTTGCTATTTTAACTCAACCGTATGGTGTTTAAGTCGGAAGGGATCCTGCTCTGGAGTGCAACCAACTAAAATATACAGGAAATGCCGTAGAAAGAGGGAGAAACCAAGTGGGAAAGGAGGGGTGATGTTGATTAATAGGGGGCAATTAGCAGCGGAAGAAGGAAAACCCCAACACGCTGGGCAGACAGGGTGGCTTTCCAAATGCTTAGAAGGGGAAAGAGGACAGAAAACAAGAGGTTTGCAAAGGGAGTGGAGAAAGGTCAGCTGGGAGCCCATGCGAGACCCCTTACCAGGTCTTCCACCTCTTCCTTCGCTACCTTTCGAGCCTGGAACGGGATTCTTTATTCATTAACTGATCACAGAAAATAGCAGTTGGTTTAGGGTTGGCACTGGCAGCAACCAGGAAAGCAAATCAGGCATTATAACATTCTGACCCCAACACCCGCTCTATCGTCATAGCATTCGTGGCAGGGACACGCTTTAAGCAGAAATGCACCGTCCTGAGAGTGGACGAAGGGGAAGGAGATCGGGAAGACACCCTTCTCGGCATGAAGCACCAAACATCGCTTGCAAAATGAAGCAACGGGGAAAAGAGGGACCCAAACAACACAATGGAAACTATATTCTCCATGTCCATATGATGCTAACTCAGGCATGAGCCAACCTGGGCCCTCCCTCCAGGTGTTTTGGACTTCAGCTCCCACCTTCCCTCACAACCTCAGGCCCTTCCCTTTTGTCAGTATTTTTTATTACAAAAGTGTGAGTCAAGCACGGAAAGAGTGAGTAGGCTGAAGCCTGTTAGAGTCAGTGGGTTACAGTTAGTGTCGTCCTGAGGAGTGTGAGTAGGCCAAACTTGTTAGAGCCAGTGGGCCAAAGCTAGTGTCATCCTGAGGAGAATGAGTAGGCTGAAGCCTGTTAGAGTCAGTGGGTTACAGTTAGTGTCGTCCTGAGGAGTGTGAGTAGGCCACACTTGTTAGAGCCAGTGGGCCAAAGCTAGTGTTGTCCTGAGGAGAGTGAGTAGGCAGAAGCCTGTTAGAGTCAGTGGGTTACAGTTAGTGTCGTCCTGAGGAGTGTGAGTAGGCCAAACTTGTTAGAGCCAGTGGGCCAAAGCTAGTGTCATCCTGAGGAGAGTGAGTAGGCTGAAGCCTGTTAGAGTCAGTGGGTTACAGTTAGTGTCGTCCTGAGGAGTGTGAGTAGGCCACACTTGTTAGAGCCAGTGGGCCAAAGCTAGTGTCGTCCTGAGGAGAGTGAGTAGGCTGAAGCCTGTTAGAGTCAGTGGGTTACAGTTAGTGTCGTCCTGAGGAGTGTGAGTAGGCCAAACTTGTTAGAGCAGTGGGCCAAAGCTAGTGTTGTCCTGAGGAGAGTGAGTAGGCTGAAGCCTGTTAGAGTCAGTGGGTTACAGTTAGTGTCGTCCTGAGGAGTGTGAGTAGGCCACACTTGTTAGAGCCAGTGGGCCAAAGCTAGTGTCGTCCTGAGGAGAGTGAGTAGGCTGAAGCCTGTTAGAGTCAGTGGGTTACAGTTAGTGTCGTCCTGAGGAGTGTGAGTAGGCCACACTTGTTAGAGCCAGTGGGCCAAAGCTAGTGTCGTCCTGAGGAGAGTGAGTAGGCTGAAGCCTGTTAGAGTCAGTGGGTTACAGTTAGTGTCGTCCTGAGGAGTGTGAGTAGGCCAAACTTGTTAGAGCCAGTGGGCCAAAGCTAGTGTCATCCTGAGGAGAATGAGTAGGCTGAAGCCTGTTAGAGTCAGTGGGTTACAGTTAGTGTCGTCCTGAGGAGTGTGAGTAGGCCACACTTGTTAGAGCCAGTGGGCCAAAGCTAGTGTTGTCCTGAGGAGAGTGAGTAGGCAGAAGCCTGTTAGAGTCAGTGGGTTACAGTTAGTGTCGTCCTGAGGAGTGTGAGTAGGTCACACTTGTTAGAGCCAGTGGGCCAAAGCTAGTGTCGTCCTGAGGAGAGTGAGTAGGCTGAAGCCTGTTAGAGTCAGTGGGTTACAGTTAGTGTCGTCCTGAGGAGTGTGAGTTGGTGAAACTTGTTAGAGCCAGTGGGCCAAAGGTAGTGTCATCCTAAGGAGAGTGAGTAGGCTGAAGCCTGTTACGGGTCAGTGGGCCAAAGCTAGTGTCGTCCTGAAAAGAGCGAGTAGGCTGAAGCCTGTTAAGAGTCAGTGGGCCAAAGCTAGTGTCATCATCAGGAGAGTCAGTAGGCCAAAGCCTGTTAAGAGTCAGTGGACCAAAGCTAGTGTCATCCTGAAGAGAGCGAGTAGGCTGAAGCCTGTTAGAGTCAGTGGGTTACAGTTAGTGTCACCCTGAGGAGTGTGAGTAGGCCAAACTTGTTAGAGCCAGTGGGCCAAAGCTAGTGTCATCCTGAGGAGAGTGAGTAAGCTGAAGCCTGTTAAGAGTCAGTGGGCCACAGTTAGTGATGACCTGAGGAGTGTGAGTAGGCCGAAGCTTGTTAGAGTCAGTGGGCGAAAGTTAGTGTCATCTTGAGGAAAGGGAGTAGGCCAAAGCCTGTTAGAGTCAGTAGGCCAAAGCTAGTGTCGTCCTGAGAAGAGTCAGTAGGCCAAAGCCTGAAGAGAGTGAGTAGGCCGAAGCCTATTAGAATCAGTGGGCCAAAGCTAGTGTCGTCCTGAGGAGAGTGAGTAGGCTGAAGGCTTTTAAGAGTCAGTGGGCCACAGTTAGTGTTGTCCTGAGGAGTGTGAGTAGGCCAAAGCTTGTTAGAGTGAGTGAGCCAAAGCTAGTGTCGTCCTGAGGAGAGTGAGTAGGCAGGAGCTATTAAGAGTCAGTGGGCGTGTTAGAATCAGTGGGCCAAAGCTAGTGTCATCCTGAGGAGAGTGAGTAGACCAAAGCTTCTTAGAGCCAGTGAGCCAAAGCTAGTGTCATCCTGAGGAGAGTGAGTAGGCAGAAGCCTGTTAGAGTCAGTGGGTTACAGTTAGTGTCGCCCTGAGGAGTGTGAGTAGGCCAAACTTGTTAGAGCCAGTGGGCCAAAGCTAGTGTCATCCTGAGGAGAGCGAGTAGGCCGAAGCCTGTTAGAGTTAGTGGGCCAAAGCTAGTGTCAAACTTGTTAGAGCCAGTGGGTCAAAGCTAGTGTCATCCTGAGGAGAGCGAGTAGCCTGTTAGAGTTAGTGGGCCAAAGCTAGTGTCGTCCTGAGGAGAATGAGTAGGCTGAAGGCTGTTAAGAGTCAGTGGGCCACAGTTAGTGTTGTCCTGAGGAGTGTGAGTAGGTCGAAGCTTGTTAGAGTGAGTGGGCCAAAGCTAGTGTCGTCCTGAGGAGAGTGAGTAGGCAGGAGCTATTAGAGTCAGTGGGTGTGTTAGAATCAGTGGGCCAAAGCTAGTGTCGTCCTGAGGAGAGTGAGTAGACTAAAGCTTCTTTGAGTCAGTAAGCCAAAGCTAGTGTCGTCCTGAGAAGAGTGAGTAGGCAGGAGCCTGTTACGGGTGAGTGGGCCAAATCTAGTGTCATCCTGAAGACAGCGAGTAGGCCGAAGCCTGTTAGAGTTAGTGCGCCAAAGATACTGTCATCCTAAGGAAAGGGCGTAGGTTGAAGCCTGTTAGAGTCAGTGGGCCAAAACTAGTGTCGTCCTGAGGAGTGAGTTGGCTGAAGGCTGTTAAGAGTCAGTGGATCAGTTAGTGTATGTCCTGAGGAGTGTGAGTAGGCCGAAGCTTGTTAGAGTGAGTGGGCCAAATCTAGTGTCATCCTCAGGAGAGTGAGTAGGCAGGAGCTATTAGAGTCAGTGGGTGTGTTAGAATCAGTGGGCCAAAGCTAGTGTCGTCCTAAGAAGAGTGAGTAGACCAAAGCTTCTTAGAGTCAGCGGGCCAAAGCTAGTGTCGTCCTGAAGAGAGTGAGTAGGCCAAAGCCTGTTAGACTCAGTGGGCCAAAGCTAGTGTCGTTGAGGTGAGTAGGCCAAAGCCTGTTAAGAGTCAGTGGGCCAAAGCTACTGTTGTCCTGAGGAGAGTGAGTAGGCCGAAGCCTGTTATAGTTGCCCAAAGCTAGTGCCATACTGTGGAGAGTGAGTAGGCCAAAACCTGTTAAGAGTCAGTGGGCCAAAGCTACTGTTGTCCTGAGGAGAGTGAGTAGGCCAATGCCTGTTAGAGTCAGTGGGCCACAGTTAGTGTTGTCCTGAGGAGTGTGAGTAGGCCAAAAAGCTATTATAGCCAGTGGGCCAAAGTTAGTGTCGTCCTGAGGAGAGTGAGTAGGCCGAAACCTGTTAAGAGTCAGTGGGCCAAAGCTAGTGTCGTCCTCAGGAGAGTGAGTAGGCCAATGCCCGTTAGAGTCAGTGGGGCAAAGCTAGTGTCGTCCTGAGGAGAGTGTGTAGGCCAATGCCCGTTAGAGTCAGTGGGCCACAGTTAATGTTGTCCTGAGGAGTGTGAGTAGGCCAAAACCTTTTAAGAGCCAGTGGGCCAAAGCTAGTGTCATCCTAAGGAGAGTGAGTAGGCCAATGCCTGTTAGAGTCAGTGGGCCACAGTTAGTGTTGTCCTGAGGAGTGTGAGTAGGCCAAAGCCTATTAAGAGCCAGCGGGCCAAAGCTAGTGTCGTCCTGAGGAGAGTGAGTAGGCCAAGCCTGTTAAGAGTCAGTGGGCCAAAGCTAGTGTCGTCCTGAGGAGAGTGAGTAGGCCAAAGCCTGTTACGAGTCAGTGGGCCAAAGCTAGTGCCGTCCTGAGGAGAGTGAGTAGGCCAAAGCCTGTTAAGAGTCAGTAGGCCAAAGCTAGTGTCGTCCTGATGAGAGTGAGGAAAGCCTTTTCGTGAGAGAATCCTCATGTGAGAAAGCTCCAGTGTGAAGGATGCTGTGTGTAAAGCTATTGTGTATTTGTTTATTTGTCTTATGGAAATCTTGTTGTTGTAAGCAGTGCAATTATATTATTTTACTACAAAGAAATGCCTCATAGGGAAGAGGTGACATTGGCCGGTGTGTTTGTGTTCTTCGTATCACTTTTGGCGACACTAGCTTGGGTCACGCTGCTGCTAAATTACTCGGCTATACATTTATGGGGAGGGTCTTTTGGGATGTTTCCACGTACCTCTGCCACCAGGATTTACATTGGGCATCCCACCATCTCTTCCATCATTTTGGTCATCCAAGGCATCAGACAAGTCAAAGTCCATGGGATCTTTTGCTAAAAAACAAGACAAAGGTCATTTGGGGAATCTTGACTCTTCTGAAAGTTCTTATTATGGTTGCAGGTATCAGCAGGTCTATGAAGACAGGAGCGGTCTTCATAGACCTGTCAGTAGCCTATGAGACTGTGAACCACCGCTGCCTCCTCCTGAGAAAAATGTATAGTATCACAAAGGACGACCACCTCACCCGCCTCATAGGAAACCTGCTACAAAACAGGAGCTTCTTTGTTGAGTTCCAGGGCCAGAGAAGCAGATGGCGGAAACAGAAGAACGGCCTGCCTCAGGGGAGCGTGCTTGCTCCATCCATGTTCAACATCTACACAAATGACCAGCCACTGCCAGAAGGGACAGAGAGTTTCATCTATGCTGATGATCGTGCCATCACCGTTCAAGCAGGGAGCTTTGAGATGGTTGAACAGAAGCTCTCCGAAGCTCTAGGTGCTCTTACTGCCTACTACAGGGAAAACCAGCTGATCCCCAACCCATCTAAAACACAGACATGTGCTTTTCATCTCAAGAACAGACAAGCATCCCGAGCTCTGAGGATCACCTGGGAAGGAATCCCACTGGAGCATTGCAACGCACCTAAATACCTGGGAGTCACTCTGGACCGTGCTCTGACCTACAAGAAGCACTGCCTGAACATCAAGCAAAAAGTGGGTGCTAGAAACAATATCATACGAAAGCTGACTGGCACAACCTGGGGATCACAACCAGACACAGTGAAGACATCTGCCCTTGCGCTATGCTACTCTTCTGCTGAGTACGCATGCCCAGTGTGGAACACATCTCACCACACTAAAACAGTGGATGTGGCTCTTAATGAGACATGCCGCATTATCACGGGGTGTCTGCACCCTACACCACAGGAGAAATTACACTGCTTAGCCGGTATCGCACCACCTGACATCCGCCAGGAAGTAGCAGCCAATAGTGAAAGGACCAAGGCAGAGACATCTCTAGTTCATCCCTTGTTTGGGTATCAGCCAGCATGTCAACGACTTAAATCAAGACATAGTTTTCTAAGATCTACAGAGACACTCACTGGAACACCTCAGCAAGCGAGAGTCCAAAAGTGGCAGGCTCAAACCCAGAAGCTGATACCAAATGAGAGACTCCCCTGGGCACACAGAAGACTGGGCGACTTGGAAGGCGCTGAACAGACTGCGCTCTGGCACCACGAGATGCAGAGCCAACCTCAAGAAATGGGGCCACAAAGTGGAATCCACGACATGCGAGTGGGGAGAAGAGCAAACCACTGACCACCTGCTGCAATGCACCCTGAGCCCTGTCACATGATGCACAATGGAGGACCTTCTTATAGTAACCCCAGAGGCACTCCAAGGGGCCAGATACTGCTCAAAGGACATTTAATCAGCTACCAAGCTTGCAAACTTTGTGTTTTGTTTGTTTGATTGATTGTTTGTTAAAAAAATGCAATACAACTGTTTGGTTTGCTCCTGACACGATCAATAAATAAATACAATGTTTTAAGTTTTTTTTTATAGGTATTTTTCAAATTCTGGGGGAAAATGAAGTTGTTTGAGCTCCTCTCATTGAGAGGAAAATCAAAATATGGTAGGATCCCTGCGCTGGCGGAGGATGCGCTCCCTGCCAAACTGCGATTGACTTCATGGACCATTCTATTAGCTTACTACAGATTCTTACGTGCTTTTGCTGTTATTTCCCTTTGAAATCAAGTCTCTAGTTTCATGGACTTCTTTGGACTATTTCTCTTTGGACCAATTGCTCCTTTTTCTTCCTAACCAATTGGATTTACCTTTTACTGTGGATTGCTTTGTATTGCTTTGGCTTTTATTGCCTTCAATAAACTGCTTGCTATTTTAACTCAACCGTATGGTGTTTAAAGTCGGAAGGGATCCTGCTCTGTAGTGCAACCAACTAAACTAAAAGTAACATATTTATACATGACTATCATATCCCCTCTCAGCCTTCTCTTCTTCAGGCTAAACATGCCCAGCTCCTTAAGCCGCTCCTCATAGGGCTTGTTCTCCAGACCCTGGTCATTTAGTCACCGTCCCTATGACATATTCCCTTCTCATATTTATACATGGCTGTCATGTCTCCTCTCAGCCTTCTCTTCTTCAGGCTAAACATGCCCAGCTCCTTAAGCCGCTCCTCATAGGGCTTGTTCTCCAGACCCTTGATCATTTTAGTCACCCTCCTCTGGACACATTCCAGCTTGCCAATATCTCTCTTGAATTGTGGTGCCCAGAATTGGACACAATATTCCAGGTGTGGTCTAACCAAGGCAGAATAGAGCATGGGGAGCATGACTTCCCTAGATCTAGACACTCTGCTCCTCTTGATGCAGGCCAACATCCCATTGGCTTTTTTTGCCGCCACATCACATTCCTGGCTCATGTTCCCCTTCCTCCCCACGAGGACGCCAAGATCTTTTCCACACGTCCTGCTCTCGAGCCAGGCCTCATCGTCCCCCATTCTGTCTCTTTGCATTTCGTTTTTCCTGCCAAGTGGAGTATCTTGCCTTTGTCCCGGTTGAACTTCATTTTGTTAGTTTTGGCCCATCATCTCTCTAATCTGTCAAGATCGTTTTGAATTCTGTTCCTGTCCTCTGGAGTCTTGGCTCTCCCTCCCAATTTGGTCCCGTCTGCAAACTTGATGATCCTGCCTTCTGGCCCTTCTTCTAAGTCATGAATGAAGATCCTGAGCAGGACCGGGCCCTGCGACACTCCACTCGTCACTTCTTTCCAGGATGAAGAGGAAGCCTTGGGGAGAATCACCCTCTGGGTTCGTCCATTTAACCAATTCCAGATCCACCTCACCGTAGTTTTGCCTCGCCCACGTTGGACCAGTTTGTTTGCCAGAAGGTCTGGCCCTTCTTATGGGTCTTATGGGTCCATAAGTGCTGGAGATCCTAGATTCCTACAGATCTATCTACTGAGTCAATCAATGGGTCTATTTTAGTTGGGACAAACAATAGAGTTCAGATTAACACAGAAGTGAGAGAAGCCCTTTAAGAGGTGAAGGCCTTCGCTTCCTCGTGCATCTCTCTGCCTTTACCTGGGGTCTTCTTCGGAGGGGGTTTGGTGGTTTTCGGCTGCTTGGTGGTGGTAGTATGCAGCACATTCCAGCGGCCATCGTCTGAAGACAAGAGCACATAAAAAGGAAAGTTAACCCTTCAACCAAAAGCTATGGAGAACTCGTACTAGATGGAACTACCTCGCTTTCTACAATTTATGGACAACACAGAAAGGGTCACCTGGCCTGCACTGCATCCTGTCAGATCCCCAAAATCTGGAGGAAAGCAAGAGTCATCGCCATCTTGAAGCCAGGCAAAGACCGTAATGACCCAAAAAGCTACAGACCAATCTCCCTGCTGTGCCACCTCTACAAAGTTCTGGAGAGACTTATTTTGCATAGAATTATGGAAAAAATAGACCCCTGTCTGATCCCACAGCAAGCTGGCTTCAGGAAAGGCAAAACATCCGCTGGGAAGTAGCAGCAAATAGTGAAAGGACCAAGGCAGAGACATCTCCAGCTCATCCCCTGGTTTGGGTATCAGCCAGCACGTCAACGACTTAAATCTAGAAATAGTTTTCTAAGATCTACAGAGACACTCGCTGGAACACCTCAGCAAGCGAGAGTCCAAAAGTGGCAGGCTCAAACCCAGAACCTCCAATGGCTGATACCAAATGAGAGACTCCCCCCTGGGCACACAGAAGACGGGGCGACTTGGAAGGCGGTGAACAGACTGCGCTCTGGCACCACGAGATGCAGAGCCAACCTCAAGAAATGGGGCCACAAAGTGGAATCCACGACATGCGAGTGTGGAGAAGAGCAAACCACTGACCACCTGCTGCAATGCACCCTGAGCCCTGCCACATGCACCATGGAGGACCTTCTTGCGGCAACACCAGAGGCACTCCAAGGGGACAGAGACTGGTCAAAGGATATTTAATCAACTACCAAACTCGCAAATTTTGTGTTTTGTCTGTTTGTTTGTTTTGTTCTGTTAGAAATGTAATACAATGGACTGATTGACTCAATGGACCGAAATGTGAACACTGGTTGGGTTCGGGGAAAATAGACCCTGACATTTGGGATTTATAGTTCACGTACAATCAAAGAGCATTCTGAACTCCACCAATGATGGAATTGAACCAAACTTGGCACACAGTTCTCCCATGACCAACAGAAAATACTGGAAGGGTTTGGTGGGCATTGACCTTGGGTTTTGGAGTTGTAGTTCACGTACATCCAGAGAGCACTGTAGACTGAAACAAGTTTGGATCTTAACCAAACTTGGCACAAAGACTCAATATGCTCAAATGTGAACACTGGTGGAGTTTGGGGAAAATAGACCTTGACATTTGGGAGTTGTAGTTGCTGGGATTTATAGTTCACCTACAATCAAAGAGCATTCTGAACTCCAATGATGGAATTGAACCAAACTTGGCACACAGAACTCCCATGACCAACAGAAAATACTGAAGGTTTGGTGGGCATTGACCTTGAGTTTTGGAGTTGTAGTTCACCTACATCCCGAGAGCACTGTGGACTCAAACAATGATGGATCTGGACCAAACTTGGCACGAATACTCAATGTGCCCAAATGTGAACACTGGTGGATTGGGGAAAATAGATCCTGACATTTGGGATTTATAGTTCACTTACAATCAAAGAGCATTCTGAACCCCACCAATGATAGAATTGGGCCAGACTTCCCACATAGAACCCGCATGACCAACAGAAAATGCTGTGATTTTTGATGGTCTGTGGCAATCCCTCTGACACCCTCTTGCAACCCCCCAGGGGTCCCGACCCCCAGGTTGAGAAACACTGCATCTCCTTCTCTACCTGGTTTCCTTGGATAAGGTCCGGTGGTCGCCTTGGCTGGTTTTGTTGTCCTCTCCGGTGGGGTGTCAAAGGGGTCGGGCAAGTCAAAGTCACCTGTCCAGAAAGCAAACACACATTCAAAATATGACGCTACCGGGTTGTAGAGTTTGTGTTGACTCTGTATGCATTTGGCCTTTCCTTCAAAGCATTCAGGACACCGCACACAATCAAAACTGGTTAGATCCACACAAGAACCCTCTGAAGGCTAATGTGAGGCACCTCTTTCCACAACTATAACATTAGAATATATTAAAATTCACTTTATTTCCATTGTATGTTTTGTTTTGTTTTGTTTGTCATGTCAGGAGCAACTTGAGAAACTGCAAGTCACTTCTGGTGTGAGAGAATTGGCCATCTGCAAGGACATTGCCCAGAGGACATTGCCCAGATGTTTTGATGTTTTGACCATCCTCGTGGGAAGCTTCTCTCATGTCCCCGCATGAGGAGCTGGAGCTGTTAGAGGGAGCTCTTCCCGGATTTGAACCTGCGACCTGTTGGTCTTCAGTCCTGCCGGCACAGGGGTTGAACCCACGGTGACTCCTGCCTGTTCCATGCTCTCGCTTTCCTTGAGGTGGGAAGGAGACCACCTGAGGAGAGCCAGGCCGCCTTCTCACGGCCTCCCCTCTCCCCTTGCTTCATCCCCCTTGGACCGCAGCAGCAGGCACAAGAGCAAACACAACAGGCACAAGGCTTTGGCCATTCGTTCTGCTTCCTTCCTTCCTTCCTTCCTTCCTTCCTTCCTTCCTTCCTTCCTTCCTTCCTTCCTTCCTCCTTCTTCCCTTCCTCCCTTCCTCCTTCTTCCCTTCCTCCTTCCTTCCTTCCTTCCTTCCTTCCTTCCTTCCTTCCTTCCTTTCCCTTCCTCCCTCCCTCCCTTCCACCCTTTCATCCTTCCTTTCTTCCCTCTTTCCTCCCTCCTTCTCTGTCTTCTTCCTTCCTTCCTTCCTTCCTTCCTTCCTTCCTTCCTTCCTTCCTTCCTTTGTTCCTTCCTCCTTTCCTTTCTTTTTTCTTTCTTTCTCTCTTCCTTCCTCTCTTCCTTCCTTCCTTCCTTCCTTCTTTCCTTTCTTTTTTCTTTCTTTCTCTCTTCCTTCTCTCTTCCTTCCTCTCTTCCTTCCTCTCTTCCTTCCTTCCTTCCTTTCCTTCCTTCTTCCCTTCCTTCCTTCCTTTGTTCCTTCTCCTTTCCTTTCTTTTTTCTTTCTTTCTCTCTTCTTCCTCCTTCCTTCCTTCTTCCTTCTCCTTCCTTCCTCTCTTCCTTCCTTCTTCCTTCCTTCCTTTCTTTCTTCTTTTCTCTCTTCTTCCTTCCTTCCTTCTTTCTTTCTCTCTCTCTTCCTTCCTTTCCTTCTTTTTTCTTTCTTTCCCTCTCCCTCCTTCTTCTTTCTTTCTTTCTTTCTTTCTTTCTTTCTTTCTTTCTTTCTTTCTTTCTCTCTCCCCTTCTCTGCTGTCTTCCTTCCTTCCTTCCATCTTCCTCCTTCCTTCCTTTCTCTCTCTCTTCCTTCCTTTCTTACTTTCTTCCTTCCCTTCCTTCATTCCTCTCTTTCTTTCTTTCTTTCTTTCTTTCTTTTTCTCTCTCTTCCTTCCTTCCTTTTTCTTTCTTTCTTTCTTTCTTTCTTTCTCCTTCCTTCCTTCCTTCCTTCCTTCCTTCCTTCCTTCCTTCCTTTCTTTCTTTCTTTCTTTCTTTCTTTCTTTCTTTCCTTCCCTCTCCTCCTTCTCTTCTTCTTTTCTCTCTTCTTCCCTTCTCTCTTTCTCTTTCTTTCCTTCTTTTCTTCTTTCTTCCTTCCTTCCTTCCTTTCCTTCCTTCCCTCCCTCCCTCCTTCTCCTCTGCCTCCCTTCCTTCCTTCCTTCCTTCCTTCCTTCCTTCCTTCTTCCTTCCTCTCTTTCTTTCTTTCTTTCTTTCTTTTTCTCTCTCTTCCTTCCTTCCTTTTTCTTTCTTTCTTTCTTTCTCTCTCTCTCTCTTCCATCCTTCCTTCCTTTCTTTTCTTCTTTCTTCTTTCTTTCTTTCTTTCTTTCTTTCTTTCTTTCCTTCTTCCTTCCTCCCTCTCCTCCTCCTTTTTTTTCTTCCTTCCTTCCTTCCTCTCCTTCTTCCTTCCTTCTTCCCTCCTCCCTCCCCCCCTCCCTCCCTCCCTCCTCTTTCTTTCTGTCTTTCTCTCTCTCTCTCTGCCTGCCAGACCACTCTGACCCCAACTTGGCCCCAGAGAAGACAGAAGGAGGGCAAGGCAGGCAGGTCCAGTGAAGGGGTCTCCTCCTCCTCCGCCCCCCCTGAACTCCTGACTGGGAAAGATCCCTTGCTTCCGCCCTGCATCCCAAAAGAGCGTCCCCTTCCCAAAGAGGCTGCCGGCCCTGATTTTCCCTTGGTGACAAGTATCTCACCTGTTCCGCCAGAAGGGGTTTTGGGGGGCTTGTGAGTTGCTGTAGGGAGACAAAAAGGAATGGAGAAACTCTGGTTAAAACACAGGCAGAGAACAAGCGCAAAAGTCCAAAACACCTGGAGGGCCTGAGGCTGTTGGGAATGGTGGGAGTTGAAGTCCAAAACACCTGGAGGGCCTGAGGCTGTTGGGAATGGTGGGAGTTGGAGTCCAAAACACCTGGAGGGCTGAGGCTGTTGGGAATGGTGGGAGTTGAAGTCCAAAACACCTGGAGGGCCTGAGGCTGTTGGGAATGGTGGGAGTTGGAGTCCAAAACACCTGGAGGGCCTGAGGCTGTTGGGAATGGTGGGAGTTGGAGTCTAAAACACCCGGAGGGCGTGAGGCTGTTGGAAATGGTGGGAGTTGAAGTCCAAAACACCTGGAGGGGCCTGAGGCTGTTGGGAATGGTGGGAGTTGGAGTCCAAAACACCTGGAGGGCGTGAGGTTGTTGGGAATGGTGGGAGTTGAAGTCCAAAACACCCGGAGGGCGTGAGGCTGTTGGGAATGGTGGGAGTTGAAGTCCAAAACACCTGGAGGGCCTGAGGCTGTTGGGAATGGTGGGAGTTGGAGTCCAAAATACTTGGAAAGGCAAAGTTTGCCCAGGCCTGCTATATATGGATTTATATATGGATATATGGTCTATACCTGCACCTCTAGGACACACCCACCCACAAAGAATGACAACAAAGACGACAACGACAAAATAATAGTAGTAGTAGTAGTAGTAGTAGTAGTAGTAGTAATAGCTGCATCTTTGAGTGCTAAGCCTCTCAAAGGGGATCACTTGGCTTTAATATCCAGGATCCAGGCAGTTGCAGAAGCAGCCCTTCCCAAGGAAAACACCACCCCAAAAACACGCCAATCCGTTCACAGCTTGCGTTCGCACGTTCCCTCTCGCACGCCCACTTCCATTCACACGCACACCCAGAGCGAGCCGACTTACGCCTCTTTGTTGAAAGGACGTCATCATCCAGCGCGTCTTCTAAATTGAAGTCTAAGTCGTCGGCATAACCTGGGAACAAAGAACGAGCGTGAGTTTCACACTGCTCACCAACGCCGCATCACAATTAAATGCAGCAAGGTGGCATCTAATGCAGCAAATGTACCAAATGCAGCAAAATATACCTTATCATTGCTATCTCATCCAATGGTTTGGTCAATGATATTAATGCAAAGAATGACAGAGAGACGCCGGTTCAAAGTGTAGTTTCCCATGAGAATGTTCCTACAGAGAGTTCCTACATCCTTATCTGTCGAAGCCTGGCAGAACGCAGAAGGCCTTGGTCGAGCTGTCTGTTTTGGGTAATTTCCACCCGTCTGTCTATATGCTCATTAGTTTCTCCAGGTGCCAAGTTGTTTTCAAGCCCCAAATCCTGGGAACTCTCTGGGGTCAATTCAGGGAGTAAACCATCAGCTCTCCGAAGCTCTAGGTGCTCTTACTGCCTATGACAGGGAAAACCAGCTGATCCCTGATCCATCTAAAACACAGACATGTGCCTTTCATCTCAAGAACAGACAAGCATCCCGAGCTCTGAGGATTATTACCTGGGAAGGAATCCCACTGGAGCATTGCAGCGCACCCAAATACCTGGGAGTCACTCTGGACCGTGCTCTGGCCTACAAGAAGCACTGCCTGAACATCAAGCAAAAAGTGGGTGCTAGAAATAATATCATACGGAAGCTGACTGGCACAACCTGGGGATCACAACCAGACACAGTGAAGACATCTGCCCTTGCGCTATGCTACTCTGCTGCTGAGTATGCATGCCCAGTGTGGAACACATCTCACCACGCTAAAACAGTGGATGTGGCTCTTAATGAGACATGAGTGTCTGCGCCCTACACCACTGGAGAAATTACACTGCTTAGTCGGTATTGCACCACCTGACATCCGCCGGGAAGTAGCAGCCAATAGTGAAAGGACCAAGGCAGAGACATCTCCAGCTCATCCCCTGTTTGGGTATCAGCCAGCACGTCAACGACTTAAATCAAGAAATAGTTTTCTAAGATCTACAGAGACACTCGCTGGAACACCTCAGCAAGCGAGAGTCCAAAAGTGGCAGGCTCAAGCCCAGAACCTCAATCAATGGCTGATACCCAATGAGAGACTCCCCCCTGGGCACACAGAGGACTGGGAGACTTGGAAGGCGCTGAACAGACTGCGCTCGGGCACCACGAGATGCAGAGCCAACCTCAAGAAATGGGGCCACAAAGTGGAATCCACAACATGCGAGTGCGGAGAAGAGCAAACCACTGACCACCTGCTGCAATGCACCCTGAGCCCTGCCACATGATGCACAATGGAGGACCTCCTTGCGGCAACACCAGAGGCACTCCAAGGGGACAGAGACTGCTCAAAGGACATTTAATCCACTACCAAGCTTGCAAACTTTGTGTTTTGCCTGTTTGTTTGTTTTGTTCTGTTAGAAATGTAATACAATGGACTGATTGCCCCTGACACGATAAATAATTTAAATAAATTATTATTACATGTAATATAAATATATAATTATAATATATTATTATTAGTAGTATTATATTGCATTATGTTGTACTATTATAAATATTATATGTACATACAATATAATATAGTAAACTAGCTGTCCCCTGCCACGCGTTGCTGTGGCCCAGTCTGGTGATCTGGAAAATAAAGTAATGAGAAAGTGTTGGTTTCTAATATATGTAATTTCTTTCTGCTTGTGGGTAAATAGTATTTCTTGTTGTTTCTTTGTCAGTGTTGATGTGGAGAGAGCCTGGTTTGTCCACCCTGGAACATGCAACATATCATTGTCCTTCTTTAAGGGTCCCTTTCCAATCTAGGATACTATATCTGTGTGTGTGTGTGTGAATCATATCTATCTATCTATCTATCTATCTATCTATCTATCTATCTATCTATCTATCTTCATGACTGGATGGCTCTTTGTCAGGAGGGCTTTGATTATATTTTCTTGCCCTGGTAAAGGGAGTTGGATTGGATGGCCTTAAGTATGTTCTGTTGGTCAAGGGGATTCTGTGTGGGAAGTTTGGCCCAATTCTATCATTTGTGGGTTCAGAATGCTCTTTGATTGTAGGTGAACTATAAATCCCAGCAACTACAACTCCCAAATGTCAAGATTCTATTTTCCCCAAACTCCACCAGTGTTCACATTTAGGCATATTGAGGATTTGTGTAGAGTTTGGTCCAGATCCATCATTGTTTGACTCCACAGTGATCTCTAGATGTAGGTGAACTACAACTCCAAAACCAAAGGACACTGCCCACCAAATCCTTCCAGTATTTTCTGTTGGTCATGGGAGAACTGTGTGCCAAGTTTGGTTCAAATTCTATTGTCGGTGAGGTTCAGAATGCTCTTTGATTGTAGGTGAACTATAAATCTCAGTAACTACAACTCCCATGTGTCAAGATCTATTTCCCCCAAACTCCATCTGTGTTCATATTTGGGCGTATAGAGTGCTTGTGCCAAGTTTGGTCCAGATCCATCATTGTTTGAGTCCACAGTGCTCTCTGGATGTAGGTGAACTACAACTCCCAAACTCAAGGTCAATGCCCACCAAACTCTCCCAGTATTTTCTGTTGTTCATGGGAGTTCTGTGTGCCAAGTTTGGTTCAATTCCATCATTGATGGAGTTCAGAATGCTCTTTGATTGTAGGTGAACTATAAATCCCAGCAACTACAACTCCCAAATGACAAAATCATAATTTTTTGAGTGATGGCCACTCCTTGTGTTGTGAGATGTTTTGTTGCCAAATTTGGTGTGATTTCGTTCATTGGTTCTTTTGTTTTTAAGTTACTCATTATGCACAGAGCATTTTTATATATATAGATGACATCTTCATAAAACACCCCAAAAGACATCCAGCTTCAAGAAAATGGGGTAGATCAACAAACAGAAGGGGTGTGCACATAGAAAACCCATTCTACACCTTCCCAAAAGATGGTCCTGCTCCTCCTTTGCACGGCTAGGCCACAAGCACCCCTCTGATGCTCCATTTGGGTGCCTTTCCCCTCCGTCTTCTCCTTTCTTTTGCTGCATGTTAATGACTGTTGACTTAAGATCTGCATCTGTCCAGATGCATTCGTGATTCCACCTCCGTGTACCCAAAGAGTAATTACAACTCGTTGAGTTGGTTAAGTAATGCAGCACTGCAACAACATTCAAATGGCTTTCCTTCCCGAATCCAACTGCTAAATGGATTTAGCCGCTGCCACCTGAGCTCCATGCGCACCGTGAATACATCCCAGATTCAGCAAACAAGGCTGGCATCGAGAGGGAAAGGCAACGGGACAGGAGGAACCGAGTGCAAGGTTTCCAATGTATGGGTCAAAAGAGAAAGGGGGTGGAGCAATGCCCATAGTTCCTATATACATAGGTTGCGACAAAAAATTCCATCAAATCTGGCACCTGGACAGGACCAGTGGCAACAGAGCAAGTGGTGTACAGGTGGCACTCCTATTTATTTATTATTTACTAGCCATCCCCTGCCACACGTTGCTGTGGCCCACATGGGGGTTCTGTGTGAGAGGTTTGGCCCAATTCTATCGTTGGTGGGGTTCAGAATGCTCTGTGATTGTAGGTGAACTAAATCCCAGCAACTACAACTCCCAAATGTCAAGATTCTATTTTCCCCAAACTCCACCAGTGTTCACATTTAGGCATATTGAGGATTTGTGTAGAGTTTGGTCCAGATCCATCATTGTTTGACTCCACAGTGATCTCTAGATGTAGGTGAACTACAACTCCAAAACCAAAGGACACTGCCCACCAAACCCTTCCAGTATTTTCTGTTGGTCATGGGAGAACTGTGTGCCAAGTTTGGTTCAAATCTTTTATCGGTGGGGTTCAGAATGTTCTTTGATTGTAGGTGAACTATAAATCCCAGCAACTACAACTCCCAAATGTCAAGATTCTATTTTCCCCAAACTCCACCAGTGTTCACATTTGGGCATATTGAGTATTGGTGTAGAGTTTGGTCCAGATCCATCATTGTTTGAGTCCACAGTGCTCTCTGGATGTAGGTGAACTACAACTCCAAAACCAAAGGACACTGCCCACCAAATCCTTCCAGTATTTGTGCCAAGTTTGGTTCAAATCTGTTGTCGGTGGGGTTCACAATGCTCTTTGATTGTAGGTGAACTATAAATCCCAGCAACTACAACTCCCAAATGACAAAACCAATTTTTGTGAGTGAAGGACATAGATTGGGTTAGGTGTCTTGTGTCCAAATTTGGTGTCAATTCGTCCACTGGTTTTTGAGTTCTGTTAATCCCACAAACCAACATTACATTTTTATTTATATAGATAGATTATTTACCTTCTCGTATGCTTCTGCGAAGGTGTTTAGAGCGGCGCATATATATATATATATATATATATATATATATATATATATATATATATGTATATATGTATATATGTATATATGTATATATGTATATGTATGTATATGTATGTATATGTATGTATATGTATATATATGTGTGTATATATGTATATGAATATATGTGTATATAAAACATACACGAAGCTTGGCCTGTCACTGAACATCGAGAAAACTAAAGTGCTCTTCCAGCAAAAGTCACCAGCCACCCCTCTCCAATGCCAGAGATACAGCTTAATGGTGTCACATTAGAAAACGTTGACCATTTCCGTTCCCTTGGCAGCCACCTCTCCATCAAAGTCAACATTGACACCGAAATACACCACCGCCTGAGCTCTGCAAGTGCAGCATTTTCCCGAATGAAGCAGAGAGTGTTTGAGGACCGGGACATCCATAGGGATACCAAGGTGCTTGTCTATAAAGCTATTGTCCTCCCAACCCTGCTATATGCCTGCGAAACGTGGACTGTCTACAGACGTCACATGCAACTCCTGGAACGATTCCATCAGTGCTGTCTCTACACATCTGCAGAACATCAACATTGAGACTGAAATACAACACCGCCTGAGCTCTGCGAGTGCAGCATTTTCCCCGAATGAAGCAGAGAGTGTTTGAGGACCAGGACATCC